CATACTGACCAAAGTACTCTGCTCACACTCATGCAGCTGTGTAAGGGTTCATGGAGAGTTTTCATCTGAAGTGAAGACAACCAGTGGTGCCCGTGACAGATGATCACTGTCGTCATTCCTATTTAAATTCATCATAGATGTATTAAGAGAGTCATGGTCGGATGCATTCACTCTTTGAGATTTATCACATCTTCCATATTACTCCTCTTTTCCCCTCACACTTCTCTTTACTGTCTTCTCTTGCATTGTGTGCTACATGGAGTGTGGTAACTCGAACTGGTGCACATCTGTGCAAAGTTCTACGTTGAAGTCAGTGAGTATCTGTCATGGATATTACTTTAACCAACAGAGACAATCTAGGTTTGATCACAGGTAATATTATGGTATCCATAAAATATCGTATCGATTTAGTCCCGTAAATTGACAAGATGGCGTTTTTCCATTTCTGAACTAAACAGGATTCTCATTGCCTTGAAACTTACTTTCAAACAAGATTTTAATGACCTGGGAATTTGTATTTCTTCTTGATTTTAAGTCGTTTGGAAAATGATATGAGCACTTCATATGAACTGCTTTTACATAGTGGTTTGCAGTGCGTATTTTCTTCTCAAGTTTGAGTTTGTTATTGTACATCGAAAGTGTGTAGTTTTCCGATCAGAGGTAAAGACGATTTTTTCCTTGTAGGCACTCGTAAATCCCCATCTGGGGAAGCTGATCAAAGTCAGCATGATGAAACATCTAACACCGAATCAACAACACTAACGAATAGTGTGTTTCCCGTAGGCTCACTCAGTCCACCTTCAGAAATATACGATGCCTCCTTAGCGATTAAAAATGCCGTAAACCACAATGATTTGGCAGATTACGATGTTACATGTCGAGATTCTTCTATGCAAGACCAACCACAATTGCCAAAAAAGCTGAATCCGTAAGTTTTATATTGCACGAAGCATTTTTCTTTGGTTAAATAGGATGTCTGAATTGTAAAAGTTTGAGGTTTGAGAATCAAACAAGATATGGCTATTGCGATTACTAGTTTGTAAGTTAGTGCATATGTAAATATAGTTGTTCCCAACTGAGACTTCAGGAAATCTGCACTCATCGAGGACAATCTAGAATCTGTGTTCAGCGGAAAATGTATGTAGACGAAAAGACATTTACTCATCAACACTTATACAACTAATCCTACCTTCTAACAACATGGATTGTAGTTGTATATCTTGATTTATTGCACCATACGATTTTGAATGAATGTTGTTTGTTTGCCTGAATAGGTGTATTTAATTGGGAGGTAATGATGTTTGGAAAGTGTTTGATTTAATTGTCGTTATGAAATTTCACATTGAAAGGAATAATTAAATTTCAGGGAATGCCAAAGTAAGAACGTGAAATTATATGAATACATTAATTGGCTATTTGGATGTAACCAATGTTGTTTGTCTAATACTTTGTGTTGGTGCTGACTAAATTCTCTCAGTCGAGTGTGCAGTATGGTCACCAAGCTGAGTGACCTGCAATTACCGTGCACTTCTAGTTGATATCAGTTGACTTGTGTCGCTGAACTGTGTGCCTTTCTTGTGCTAGGTGTATTTTCTACCAAAATGTTATGTAAGGAAATTTTCGTGATAATTTCAAAAAAAACTTTTATTCGTGTTTCGCCTACTAGATTCGTTTCTGCGTGTAAGATTACGGTATTTTGGCTACACCATTGAAACGAATTACAACAGTTTCCAACCTACACTCCTAAATCCATAAATCCCTATTCTCTGTGTAAATACTTTTGTGAAAATATTTCATATATATTTTACTCGGGTGTAGTTACATTTCATTGGAACATTTTACCCAAATTTTCGAAAAAAATTTAAATCCTTTATTAAAATGGGTTCCTGTTCGTTCCTAGGCACCAGCTTTTATACAAAAGACGAAGCAGGCCCGTCGGCGCTGAGTCTGCCCCACAGAAAATTATTAACAAGCTATCGGCAAGTGGTTTTAAGGCGAAACACAAACACCGACCTTCCTGTCGTCACTTTCGCCCTACTGTTGGAACCAAGCCGAAGTGCGACGATACAGCTGACGACGTAAGTTCTCCATCTGGCTTTCTGGAGACAGAAGGATCTGAAAATCCTCTTCCTTCAACGTCTGTAACCAACGGTAAGTTTGTTTGGGAATGCAGATAACTTGATCTTCCAGTGAATTAACTTGGTATATATACATATTTATTTTCTCAGTGGCGTATTTTAATAGTTGGGCTATTTCATTCACCTATTCCCCTTTATGAATTTGAGTGAAGCAAACAACGGTTTCAGTCGAATAAGATAATTTTGTTTCGCCCGTTTCTTGACAGCTGGATACAGCCTGAAAAATTATTAGGCATGTATGCAGAGGGGTTTTAACGTACTTGCGAAGGCAATATGATGTCAGTTTATAGAAGGCTGTAATCATAGATTGTACTCCAAGGCATTTAGAAGACAAATGCATTATTCAAATTTATCAAAGGGACTAATTTTTTTAACTTATATATAACTTTAAAAAATCAGATGCTTCGTTCATTAACCTGCAAAGAAGATTCCTAATCATTCGTTAACGACTGACTGCATATACTGTGAATGATAAATTTTAGTTAGTTGAAAGCCTGGGCCATAATAACGTTTCCAATCAGTTCATATTGTTATTTGTTGTAACTCTGGATCATAAGCATCCTGATTCATGAGATCATCTTTATTATTTGTTAGCATTTTGGACTTCTTCTTGTACAAGTGCTGGAATTTAAACTCCTACTAATTAATGTGTAACAAGGATGTGCTATTCCGATTTGATAATACTGTCTACAGTCAAGTAGATGATATAGCTATGGTTAATTCACTAGGTCCTGCATTAACAAACACCATGTTTAATTTAAAGAGAACAAAGCTTAAATGTGCAATCGACGAAACAGCTTATCGTCGATGTGTTGATAACACATTCGTGACAATGGAACCTATGCATCCTATCTACTTGGACCATTCAGTGATACACATGGAAATACTGAGGTAATGGGAAGTTGCATTTTCTTGACTTTGCCGTGCAGTGCTTGAGAGATCCGTTCAGTGAAAGTCTGCGTGGAATAAACAATTTATAAGACTCACTAGTTTTTGTTCGGTGAACTGTAAACTAGCATATGTCAAAACCGTGTTTTGCAGAGTGAAGATTATGCTCCATTGAAAAATTGGAAAAAATAGTGGATTTTGAGATATAACGGTTATTCACAGGAATTCATTAATAAGTAAGTAAGGTCTGAAGATATAACTGCAAGACATCACGGTGATTTTAAAGGTGATAATTTTATTGGGCCAGTCAAGAGAAGATTGAACACTTCACTAGTCATAACATAAACTAATCTACAGCTGAGTTGGATCCTGTTTACCAAGGGACATGCTCTTTGGTGCAATCACAGGTCAGTAGTTAGTCTCCCCATGTTAATTCTAACTTTGTATTCAGATTTACTTGTATTTTTAGTAGCAGTTATATTGTAGAAAAGAAAGATAGCACACTTTAGGTTCTCTGAATATTTACTGAAAAGCCTACGACTCAAGGGAGGTAACGCTTTCAACAGTCATGAAGTAAATATCTCAAAGTTATCAGGTCTGTCGAAGCTACTGCTACCAAATGTTTAAAACCTGCTTTGCGTTCAGAAAGAAGCAGTAATCAGTCTTTCTTGTGCGTCGGTGGCACAGTGGTTAGGACTCTCGCCGACCATGCACATGGTTCGGGGTTCGATCCCCTGCCGACGCACACCTGATATCTATGGTCGGCCTGCAAAATTTGGGCTACCGGTATCACATGCTGAAAATTCCATACCTGTACCAAAAAAAAATACGGTGTGGAATCAAGCTGTAATCAAAAATATTAAAAAATATATATATAAAAAAAATTCTTCGCCCTGGTAACTCAAATTCTTAACTCTGTTATATTTGATTACGTAGTCTTTTGATTTGACCTCTTCGCTTTTGGTATACTATAATTGGTTTTCTTTTTGTAATATTATTTGAGTTGAACTCATCACATTACGCAATATAACGGTCACGTATCATCAACTTATCCATCCTTTACCTTTCTTACGTAACCCCCTTTTCAAAGTATCCAGATTTAAAAAAAGTAAATGTTACCATCTTATTTTACTCAAACCGTTGTTTTTAGGTTAGAACACTTCGCGTAAGACTATAATGCTACCTTTAAGTTTCCTATGGTTGAGCTGATTTTTTAATATTTTTCTTACTTCATGAATTCTCTTTGTGCATATTCATCCAGAGCATTTCTCAATGAACAATACTGATCAGGTTACACTTAGGTTGAGGAAAAGCAATTCTAAAGAGGGCTTGACAAACATAGCAGTAATCCATGAAGTCTCTAGCTGCTAGTTTTAGCTACGTAATGAAGTTCCGGATATCTTTGTGGCATCTTAAGCCAGGCCTAGGTTATGTAATTGTTCCTTGGATTATTTGACAGTCAGTAGTAAGAGACTCGTAGTATAAGGTTTCAAAACCCATCAGTCTAAATTTTGTTTTCTACACATGTTTGTTCGTCGTCGTATCGGTACACTTCTCCTCATTTCTTGTGTTGTTTGCAGTGTAATGACACACTTTTCAATATTCTGTGTTGATTTGGTTATCCGTCTGTCTTATTTTACGTGACGACGGGTGATGCACTCAAAATCGAAACAATAGACCACAGTTTGTGTATTTCCCAGCATCTCTTCGCCTAAGGTACATGAATGTAAATAGTGCCAGTGCCTTACTCAAAACTATTCGAAAAGAATTAACCTAGTTCGTTGCAAAACTGTAATATATATATGTATATGTGGTGATGTTACTGCATTGAACGGTAAACACCAAAAGGAAATTGAAGTGTTTTTTATTCACGCAAAACCCGAGCAGTTGATTAGGCACTTGACCCTAGATAGGATTTATAGTTGAAGTGATGTCACATTCACATCTCTTTCCTATACATTTGCAGAGTCCCCAATGAAACTCAAGTTGAAAATTCATTTACCTTCCATTGGTGGTTCTCCCACTCGTGACGATGCATGTTTCAAGTGTCCATTACCCGTAAAATGTGGAAATCTCGCGGACAATATACTTCACTCTTCCTCGAATATTAATGCCAAAGTAAGCTGTCTTATTCTTTAGTTTTCGAAATTAATATCCCTGACAGGGTCTGGAAGTGGCGACAGAATGAAAACCTATTATGTTTTAACTGTGGTTTGAACTACACCAATACCTTGGTTACCCCTTGACAACAACAAATACACATATTTTTATTCCAAAATGAGGACGATGATCTTGTTGGCATATTTTTCGTTTTTTCTGAATCACCTTTATTTCTCATGCAGTGTTCCTACGTTTTAATTCCAATGGTCGACCTCGTACATTGCGTCTTCTTTGGTCTTCGGACTAGATATTTTCTAACAAAAGGAAAAAAGCGACGTAACTGCAGATGATAACATTGAAAACGTTGGTGTTCAATACATCTGGGAACATATATAAGGAATATGGTTACTTGATCACTAGAAGTGTTTAAAATTTCATGCTCTCTAGGGAGCTTTGACATAGTGAAATCTCGTTAGGCGTACATTGATTTGATTTTTTGTCGTTATGATTAAGTAGTATTATTCATCTTCCTGAGCACTGAATTTTCAAGATCACTCCCTTCAATTATTGAAAATATCCTCCTTAGTAGATATTATAGAAATAAATTCAACAGAATGTCATATTCAATGGATTATCAGTTGTCTCTATGTAGACTTTCCTTTCAACACTAGGTTAACGCGGATCATATGCCTGAGGAAGCAGATGCAAAGAAAGAAAATATTACGAAGAATATTTATCCTTGTGATCATTGCAATCGTGTGTACAAATGCAGAACTTCTCTATACCGGCACCGAAAGGAAGCTCACTTAAAGGTTAGATAATTCTCTTTTCCACACATTTTCTGCCTGGAAATGAATAAGTACCTATTAAATTGTTCCGTAGAAATTTGATGAAATGTTTAATAACCCCAAATGATGAAACATCCAGAATATTTTGGAGGAGTTGATTATAATATAGTTTGTGCTTAACATAATTGGCTGTTAATTCAGTGGTAATAAAGGTTGCATACTTACTTGAAATCACAAATTTTAATAATCTATTCAGTGAACGCCTTCTGGCAATTAGTCTACATAATCGTCGGCCTACTGATATGATTTTGAGAAATTTAAAATACTTGAGGAAGATAGAAATATGAGTCATTGCATTTTAAAAGGGGGATTTGTTGCTAAGATTTACTATTTTCCCCTGCAGTATAAGTCTCATCCATAATTTGGCTGGCGAAATTAGCAGTTATTGAAGCCGCTGGAGCGGCACAAAGTAGACGTTACTGCTCTATAGCTAAACTCAAGAGGTGTATACGAAGCCAAGATGTTTCTCGTCAACAAAATAAGAAATAATGTCCTTGTCATATGTAGAGCTTAATTATGTGTTTCAGAGTGTCCAATTAACGATGTTGCATCAGATTCACCCATGCTAACAATGCCGATTTGATGGCTTTTTTAAAATTTCTACTCATAATCGTGGAAATTGTACAAACAAAGACTATGATGATCGTTGTATGTTGTAAAATGGTCTTCAATTCATCGTTCACTGGTGTTAAAGTATCCTCCTAATTACTGCGAGGTATCGTTTCATCAGACAAAAGCATTACAATTAATTCATTCATAAATAGGAAGTGAGATAACGAAGGTATTTAACTTCCATTGATTTGCGACCGTCTTGAGGAGTTCAATAGGTTTTATACTTTCTCTAATTTAACATTAATATAACACATGTCAAGCATCTTTTGATTATTTTCATGATTTCATTATTAGATCCTAAGAAATTTCCCTAGATTATCTTTAATTTTTTTAATAAAATCAGTTAGTATTCAACACAAATTCATATTTTCACTGAGAAATTTAATGGATGATGCTAAGCTTATTTGGCTTTCTACATATTTGTTGAGATATGCTTTTGCAATCGTGTTGAATTGCTTTTGTATTTTCTATGATTAATTTAATGTAGGATGATAAAGTAAGAGCTGGAAGGTCATTCAATGACAGACCTCCATCAACGCCAACAGGTTTTTGGGATCTTGAGTTGGAGCAACGTAACAGTAATGATAACGATGATGAAAAGGAGAATAACAAAGACGTAGGCAAAAATGATGTCGAGAATGCCTCACCTTATATTTCTCGTCGTCGTCGTCGTTACCCTTTAATCTTTCGTTCAATTCAGGCTGATATGTAACCAATTTAGTTTGTTTTAATTAATTCAATTAACTGTTCATTACTACTTTACTATGTGATCCGTTTACTAAATTTGCTGTAACGGAGAATAACCAAAGATTTTTCTTCATATATTTTTTTCAAAATAAAGTCATTCACTTCATTTCGTTGTTCCAGAAAATTCTTACTAAGGGTTACCTAAAGTTTTTTGTCTTAGATAGACAGACTGATAGAATCAACAATGTAGTACCATTCTCGCTTGAGTAACTTTCGACTGTGAAGAGACCTCTGTTTCTAACGTTTCTGTAATAAAGGATTCCATCTATACACCTCTCTATCATATATAGATATAGGCGATTCGTCTAAATAGTTCCGAGAACTGAAGATACCATCCTTTGCTACATTGAAGTAGTCCTCATTAACTTAACGATGAGAAATTTTTATAATAGCTTCATCAGTTTGCTGTATCTACTTTGGTATATCACATCTTAGTGAAAATCCACACAGTTATTGACGAACCGTTTACCGTTCTGTAAAATGAGGCATTTTACTAAGGTGCTATTGACTTCTTACTTGATAAATGTAGACTTTCGGAGCTCAGATTTTGAAAGGCCTTATGTAAGCCTTCCTTAAATGTAGCGGTAATGTTAGTCTCACTATGTATTGATTGGTTACTCTCAGTCTCCTGTAAGTTTATAGAGAAACTGTCTGTTAAGCTTTTTGTGGCGCTTGAATACTTGGATTTCCTTTAGGACCTTTGATTTATTGGTTGGATGACAGTATTGCTATAGGCAACTTAGGACTCTGCAAGAACTGGCGAGGAATTATGCTCCTGTCGACGCCAAGTAAAATTCTGAGTCACATCATCCTGGAGAGAATAGAGGACGCACTTGATGCAGAATTCCGACCAGAACAAGCTGGATTCAGCAAAGGCAAATCATGTTCTGACCGAATTGCAACTCTACGCATCATCATCGAACAAAGCATGGAATGGCAATCAAACCTCTACCCCAACTTTATAGACTTTGAGAAGGCCTTCGACAGCGTTGACCGCGAAGTAATTTGAAAACTACTCGAGTACTAAGGCGTACTCATTCAACCGCTGTACGACAACGGCACATGTCAATTGATCCACAACGGAAAACCCAGCAAGGTGTTTGAAGTAAACACAGGATTCAGACAAGGGTGCTTATTATCACCAATGATATTCCTAATTGTGGTGGACTGGACTATGCATCAGACAGTGGGAAACGGGAAGAAGTTGTAGGGGTGCTATTATTTCAGGGTATACTACCTTATAGACGATCGTCAATTGAAGACCAGGGAGTACTGAGACGTTTCGTCCCAATCTGAAACCCTTCAGTTTAAGTGTCATGCCACTACAAACTGAGCACTTGAAACGTTCCTTTTTGTTTTGACTTCACATGTACTTTTTCCTGGGTGAACTATTACATCTTTCTTATTCAGTCATAAGAGTGATTCACTGCACCTTGGTGTACATGGAAGCTTGTGTTTCGTAGTAGTAAGAGCCTAATTTCCAAATGTTAGTTGTCAGAAATGTAGCATTAAATTTTGTTTATCCATCATTGAGTACGAATCTTAATTATAGACAACTACGTAACGTTAAGTACGTTGAAGTAGGAACCGATTATTTCTCTCATATATCCTCTCGCGGTTACCCATAAAGCGCTTCGTTCTAATACTATACTTCTTCTAACAATTAAGTAGACCGCTAACACACATCAGATTCACTACATAAAGCAACTCCATTTATATCATCAACTCCACGCTGCTTCAAGATACTGTAAATAAAAGAATCCAAATAACATGGTTTATCTTTTCAAGCTGAAACGAAAGAGACATTTTAAAATGGGAAGTCCTCTATATTAAGAAAGTAAATATTATTTATACTTCGAGTCGTCGTCATTCCATACACAATATGAAATATGGTGTTCATGGATTTCGGAAAAGGATTGTCGGTCAGCAAAATCTAGCACTAATTCAACAATCTAAGTGTCCTTGTTAGGGGTTACTTTCAGTTTCTTAATTTTGAAAATATGCACATTGCACTGTATTTGTTGGGACATGTTATAACCATTCGGAAGCGATCTTACACCATTTAATTAAGAGAAGGCCAAATCAATGATTGGATTTCGTCTCATCAGCATATACTAGCCTTTCATAGTGGATTTATAATGTATGGAAACCCATGAATCTATGTGGATAGGAAATTATGTTGGAAAAACATTTAAATCAAGTAATAACCTTTTCTGTGGTAATAAATTTGTCACTTCCCACTATTGACCAGCGTACTTTTCCACCGAAGTCTTCACTTCCTTTAGTTTGCGCTACCTAGTGTTAGTCAAGAGCATTAGTGATGTGACTGGCTCGGATTTATGAACCCCGGCCTGAACTAAATTACGCAAATCCTCATCTTAGCAGGATCACATGCTCTAATTCGGATTAACAAATTAGCATGAAAAGTTGATAGTCGAGATAAGCAGCCTTCTTGAACAATGGACATTCTTAACAGTGTTCACATGTATCTCATTGCAGGTAAGACCAAGAGCAGAAAACTTAGTCATGTATAAGTCCAGTACTGAATGAGACCATTTGCTTGTCACTTTTAAAAGCTTTTTTACATTTAAGTACTTAAACTTCGAGTCTGATGTACAGTAAATCCATAGTTTCAACTTTCACTTCGAAGATGATTTTTCATCACTTTTATTATTCTACTGATCTTTGAATTGACCAGTTAGTCTTCATTGGTAAAGTGTGGTAATTGAAGCGCAACTGAAACCTCGAAGAGCCACAAACTTTGACTTTTCTCTTGTAAGTGTACGGTCTAAGAGGCATCCGAACTCAGATGGTAATCTGAGGGTTATAATCCTGTAGTGTCGCGTGCTATATCCTTTTTCAATCCTCACAAACCATATGTATTATATGACTTCACTAATCTGAATATATCTCATATAGTCTCAGTAGTCACTCTTAATATATTTATCAATATTAATACCTCTATGACGAGTATAGTTTGTATTATTTATCTGATGTCGTTTCATTCCTTTAGACAATTTATTAATACATCCTAGAACACATTTACTATGATCATTTTGTTGAACCTACTAGACAATAATGAAATGAAATCGTTTCCTGTTACTATCATAAATCACAACGTACAACTGTTCAAAATTCTAAACTAAACTTTTGGTACATTTAGCTGTTTATATTTTTGGAGAAAAATTGGAATTCAAAAGGTTAGGGCTTTTGATTTGCGATGTGATGACACACTTTTGATTGTGGATATATCCAGATGACGGTTCGCGAATAGGGTGAAATGCGTACAATGAGGCAGTAGTTCAATGATAGCATGCTCATCAGAGATAGAGTACCTCGAGTTCCAACTGCACCTCCACGCACTCAAAAACCTCATCTAGCTATAATGGTAAAGCTGGAGAAGAGGGTAGTAGGCTGGCAACCTCCTCACCCAGCAAACATAACCCAACAACAGTACAACTGAAACTTAACCACTTGAAACCATTCATACATATTCTACTCGAAATGTGAGGAGGGAAAAATAATTAAGCCAATATATGTATATGTAAGTATAGATGTATACTGGTTTATTATGAAAAGATTAAAATTCACAGAAAATACTAATCAAAATGTAAATATCAAAACAATACGAAGAAAAATATAAATTCATTTAAAAAAACTATAAAAAATAAAATGATACGCATTGTATTATTACTAAGCAAGAAACAAAACTAAGCATGAAAATCACTTTTTGTCATTAGACAAACAAAGATAACAACACCATTTGTCGACTATAATTCACACGTTATAAAGGGATTAGAGAGAAATACTGTTAACTTCATACAATTTAAAACTTCACCGGTTTCCATTAATATATATATGTATGTATGATATTGAGAGCATTGTTTCATAGAATTCTATTTAATTTTTTTGTTTAATGCAGCATTTAAATACGAAATGGTAATATGGAATAATGAAAAGAAAACTGAATAGTGCTTGCTTATTTGTGTAAACATCAATAACGGCTCTACATACTTAAGATTACACACATAGCAAGTAAAACAAAATCCATGAAAATAATCAGAATCCGTAAATATTATTATTATTATTATTTTAAAAACCGAACGTACATGGTATTTTTGGGAAATAAAATTAATGATACAAATACTGCTACTAACGAAAACCGTAGTATAAATAGAAAAATAAATTTTTTATAAAGGTTGAATAACACTGGGCTGTTGTTGTTGTGGTGGTGGTGGTGCTGATAATGATGATGATGAGAATCCATTGTGCTGTTGTATAGAATAATTAGTACTTAGTGAATTCAAATGATGTGTAAAATGTGAATTGTATGAGGCTAATGATACTTCTGATCTACTACACTCATCATCGGATCGATTTGATTTTACTCTTTTTATTGCATTAATTGTATCTAAACAGGCTTGAATTGCACGACAATTTTGGATTACCTCTGGTGGATTAGCATCAGCATCAAGTTTAGCCGTTAACTGTTGTATTTTATTCAATATTTTAATGAGGATATCATCTTGAATTTGATTATATAAAAATTGATCATCGTTTTGATCTGAATTAGACATAGGAAGACAATTTGAATAAGCAGTAATACTGTCTTTGGATTGAGCTTTATTTAATGTTCCATTTGTACTAGATAGTGAAGTTGATGTGTTCTGTGGACTATAGTTTACAGATTTCCCATTGATAGCTAGATATGCAAAAATGTTAAAAACACTTAATCTATTAACCAAATCTCAATTAATAACTTCAGTTACAGAATGAAGAGAATATGTAAAATATGATGCTTTATGCTAATCATTTTGATTACTTTTCATATAGAAAATTAAAGGCGATGAGTCATTACATAACTTCTAATTAATTGGTGAACTTAGGCGAATAAAATGATAGAACTTGAAAATTAATCTAATGCTCACTAGTGATTCATACAGGATGAAGTTTCCCAGAGTTCTAGTGAGAAATCGTGACAGAAGTTGACTGCAGGGTCAGGTGCTCACCGATGACATTGGCTGGTGCTGGTTCTGTATGTCACGAATTAGCACAAGTTATAACTCATGGACCACTGAGTTCTCTTCAACTGGTGGAATGGTCAACAGGATTGCCTTATAACCAAACGATCACAGAGTGCATCCTGTGAAGAGTCGCCAGCTAGGGCAAAATATCTTTCTAGTACTCACTAACTTTTCAGTAATTCTCGAAATGATGTCGATTCGTAACCTAACTTGAAATCACTCAACACCCTGCGAATGAATATTTGCAAATAAAAAGAGAGATATGTGCTTGCCTCCTATTTCTGAGTGATTTTAAAGGATATCTCAGCAACTAAATGAGTAATCAATCAGGTTTCCATTTAATTAGGAAGGAAAGCACCTATCCACAATACCGACACCTGATTGGTTATACACTTGGTGAGCGACAGGAAATCCCTCAGCATAGCGATGCTAATGCCAAATGCATGTCTGATAGCTATGACAAGTTTAGTTACCAGGGTGACATGTATATATTTAACATGCTGGTTATCAATTTTTAAGGTTAGAAACTAAAACCACCTAGTGAAGCGAGTTTGTGACATGTAAATGTCAGCAGTACATGATAAGTGGTATATAATAGCACCCATTTTGGGATGATAGCAGTTATGAATTTGAAACATGATCTGTCTGTTATAGAATGTGTATCATGAGCAGTAAATAACTTATGAGATATTACACCACTAGAATAGAAATATTTGACACTGAATATTTTACTGTTCTATTCCGGTCAGTCAGTCTTCATACCACATATTGACAGATGATAGATGAAATCAAATGTTGTTGGATGTTTGAACCTTCATAACAAGAATGAAGATTCACACGCCTGTAGCTAAATTCAAATTTAGGCTGCTTAACTCTGGCCTGTGATTGGTTATTAATTAATGTTCTAAACAGACATGATATGAGTCATTCGAGTCAATGTTATATACTACGTCAAATAAATAAATAAATAAAGGTGCTCGAGATGTCCAATGTCATTAGATTTCCTACTTAGTATGTATATTTGCATACCACTTTTATGATAAATAGATAAGCTTACAAACACAATCATTTCCCATAATACACTGATAAGTATTAGTTTTGTCTTTTATTTGTACTATTAAATACAGAAAAAATATTCCCATCTTTTCTCTCCATTTTAAAGGTTTTGATTTAATGAATGTAGTAGTGAAAACCATTACTACATATAAATAGGATGCATTGGAACTAGTCAAATCCTGTAGATATACCTTACACTCGAATACATATATATATATATATAAATACTATGATTATAGAATGAAAGACATATGCATGTAAACAAAAATGTTTTTATACATATAACTACAACGACATACAACGTTTGCAAATATATTCCTGATAAACTAGTCATCCAACTCATGTGAACATAGACTGTATACATTAAAAAGCCAGCACCGTGGCGAAAAAAAATTAAGCAAGAAGTATCTATAAAAACATTAAACATCATAAGAAGAGTTAATCAAACAAAACAATGAAAGAAGGGTAGGAAATGGAAGGTGTAGATTATTCGCGACTGTCAGGGTGAATGATTACATGAATATATGCAGTATAAATAATTGATAATGTTAACAGTAATGATAACAAAAAATAACAGTAACAATAATAAGGATACAAAGTAACATCAAAATGTATGGAATGCATCCGTGTCAAAGAAAGATTAGCACATGCAAGCATAATTCAGGAATTAGAGGAAATCAAAACTTGTTATAACTTTAAATAAAAATTTATGCACATAATAAACAATGAGGTGGTCGTTAGCCTCTGAGAAATCCAAATATAAGGAGATATATACATATCCTTGGTGAATGCATATGCTTGCAGTACAGTTAATAAACTACAAACCATTAGTGATAATAATATTAATAAATGTCTATGTTTATAGTGAAAGGAATGTCAACAACAATAATACTGAGGAGAATGTCTAAATAAAGGTTAACGTACTTGTTATGTCAGTCAATGAAATGAACATAGCGGGCAGGTTTACAGATCTGCCGACCACTGCGTGTCTGAACAGGGGGAAGTGTGAAGAGCGGAAGTGTAGGAGTTGCATTGATTTTCTCATTATTTATCGGTACAGGCGTTGCTATTGCTTCATATTCACTGTCCATGTACGCTGGTTTCAGACGGTCAACAGAAACAGTTTCCTGCTTACCATTTTTGTTCAGTGTGAAGTATTTGTCAGTGCGCTTGAGTACTGGAAAAGGACCTTCATATGGATGTTGTAAGCCTTTCCTAATGGCATCGACGCGAACAAATACAAATTTGCAAGTAAGTAGATTCTTGTTAACTTGAGCTTTGTGAAATGATTGGCGAGGGGCTACTGGTCGAAGATGAAGCATTTGCTGAGTAAGACGATTGGTAAAATCAGAGATATTTACATCAGTTGAATCATTGGAAAGAACTAACTGACCAGGCAATGTGAGGGTAGTACCATACACGAGTTGAGCAGGTGTACATCCCAAGTCTTCTTTGACAGTTGACCGGGTACTGAGGAGAACTAATGGTAGGTGTTCACTCCACTTAGATGAGTCAGCTTGTGCCATCAAAGAGCTTTTCAGTTGTCGATGGAAACGTTCCACCAGACCATTCGCTGCAGGATGATAAGCTGTAGTGGAGATGTGGTTCATTCCAAGGAGTCTCGTTAGCCCTCGAAACGGAGTTGGTTGAAATTGAGCTCCTCGGTCTGTGGTAATCGTTGTTGGTACTCCATAGTTTGACACCCAACGATCTAGGAAAACCAAAGCGGTATTTTCTGCAGATATGTCGTTGAGTGGACAAGCAATAGCCCATCGAGTGAATCGATCGATAGCTGTAAGGATATGTGTAAAACCTCTGGATGGTGGTAATGGTCCAACAATATCTATGTGCACATGTTGAAATCGTTTATCTGGTAAATTGAACTGCTTTGGAGTTGTGACGGTGTGATGATGTACCTTGGACTTTTGACATTGCAAGCATTGGAGTGCCGATCTCCGAATATCGGAGTTCATTTTTGGCCAAACGAAACGCTCACTGATTAACTTAACCGTAGCACGTACTCCAGGATGAGACAGAGAATGTAGATGTTCAAATAAAGGTTTTCGACAACTTTGTGGAACAAAAGGTCGATGAACGCCGGTAGAAACGTCGCAGATGATAGTTGTATCAGACAGAGGAATAGGTATATCCTGCAACTGTAGGGAGGACTATCGTCTACAATTATGAAGTTCGGCGTCACTTTTCTGCAACTTGGTGATATTGTCTAAGCTAATGTCTATCGAAGATAGAAGCTGATTAACATCACATCGAGACAAAGAATCGGCTACAATATTGGAATCTCCTTTGATAAACTGGATGTCTGTCGAGAATCGTGATATATAATCCAGTTGTCTGGCTTCTCTCGAGGAGTGTTTGTCCAACGAAGTGCTAAAAGCATAACAAAGAGGCTTATGGTCGGTTAAGATAGTAAAATGTCGACCTTGTAATAAGAAGCTGAAATGTTTCACTGCTAGATAGATAGCTAACAGTTCTGTGCCAAAAGTACTGTAACGTGTCTGAGCCGGTTCTAACTTCTTCGAAGAGAAAGCAAATGGGGGTAACGTCACCATTAATCTTCTGCTGTAACACCGCGCCACAGCTACTTGGGAGGCATCTGTGCACAAGATAAGGGATGCTTCGGGGTTGATGTGAGACAACATAGCGACTTTAGATAAAGCGTCTTTAGCGTTGCAGAAAGATTCGTGTGCTTGCTCTGACCATTGAAATTTTTTAGGATCACTTTTAAGGAGATCGGTTAAAGGTTGGACGATAGAAGGAATGAAACGTCAATAGAAATTAAACATCCCCAAAAATTGTCGGACTTTCTTCAAAGAGTCTGGTTGGGGGAAGTTTTTGATTGTATCTATCTTTTCCTCAGTAGGCCTGATTCCCTCGGCAGTTATGTAGTGTCCTAGGCATTGAATGGAAGAGGCACCGAAAATGCACTTCTTAGGATTTATAGCGACACCATACTGTTCGAAACGCTGGAACAAAGTGCTAAGATGTTTCTTATGTTCCTCTTCCGACTTGCTAGCAATTATTACGTCGTCGATATAAACGAACACAAAGTCAAGGCCCTGCGTGACTCGGTCCATGAAGCGCTGAAAAGTCTGTGCAGCGTTTTTCAGCCCGAAAGGCATTCGTAAGAATTCAAACAAGCCAAAAGGTGTTATAATGGCTGTCTTCTCGATGTCCTCAGGAGCGACTGGTATCTGGTGATAAGCTCTGACTAAATCCACTTTGGAGAAAATAGTTTTACCTTGCAGTATTAGAGAGAAATCATGCAAGTGCGTAATGGGATAACGATCTGGGACAGTGGCGTTATTCAAATGTCGGTTATCCCCACATGGTCGCTAGTCATGCTCAGCTTTTGGTACCATATGTATTGGTGAGGGCTGAGGACTGTTGGATGGCCGGATGATGCCCAATTGCATCATGTGTTCGAATTCAGCTTTGGTTGCTGCTAACTTGTCGGGTGGTAGTCGACGAGGACGTGCTCTGACGGGTTGACCAGTTGTGACAATTTTATGCGTGACAGAGTGAGGAACATCTTCGCTATTATAAGATGGCTTTAAAATTTTTGGGGAACGTTGCAGTAATGCAGAAAACATGCAATCATCTGGCTTTTCGATGCATATGTTGTAAACAGAGTAGTTTGAGATGATTCCGTGGACTTGAAGCTGGGTGCAGTTATCAATCAGCTTTTTCTTGTTGACCTCAACCAGCAGATTGAAACTGCTTAAAATATCGGCACCCAGTATGGCATGACGAACGTCAGCTACTATGAATATCCATGTAAATCGACGACGTAAACCAAGATCCAAAATAAGTGATTGTTCGCCGTAGGTCCGTATGCTAGTTTGGTTAGCTGCTCGAAGTGAAAGTTTTGCAGCTGTGCTAGAAGACCGCCTGGAGAGTGAAGGAGGTATTACACTGACTTCGGCTCCTGTGTCTACTAGCAATAATGTGCCTGTGGTTTTGTCCCTCACGTAGAAAAGGCGACTTGAATGGTTGCCAGTAACAGCTGTCGCCATCACTGTCTGGTTGGGGAGTTTCCCTGAGCCGAGTTCCTACTGCTGAAAGCACATGGTTTCAAGCACCAAATAGCTCGGTTTCCAAACTTCTATGATACTAGCAAATATTTTGAGTACTAGACGTTGAGGTCCGCTGTCTTGAAAACGACCGTCGACGTTGCCGTGACCTGGGCGGTGATCTACTACCTCGTGCACGTAAGCTTGAAATTTCAGTTTCTAGCTTTTCCATCTTATTCGTCAATGTCGAAATCGCTGACAATATAGTTGTGTCGGTAGCAGACGTCCCTTGAACCGGTAACCCCTGACTTGTCGGTACGTTGTATATACTGGTTTCAGGCATTACATCTAGTATTCTATCTGCCAGCTCACTTAGTGCGTCTAGGTCGACCGATTTGGAGGAGATGGTCAAAACCTGTTGGATATGTCGCGGTAGCCGTTGCAACCACATCTGGCGTAAAACCACGTCGTCAACTTGGTGTGGGTTAAGCAGTTGACGCATGTGCCTGAGGAGCTGAGATGGAGTCCGTGAGCCTAACTCACAAGCAGTAAGTAACTGTTGGATCCGTTTCTCATCTGAAACACTCCTTCTTTGAATCAAAACTGCTTTGAGCCTATCATACTGGTGGTCTGCAGGGGCGCTGTCAATTAAATCACTAATGTCTGATAGAACCTCTGTGGGCAGTGCGGCTAAAACACATCCATACTTCGCAATCTGTGACTTGATTCCGCGGGCAGAAAAGAGGGGTTCGATGATGGCAAACAAAATCCGCGGCTCAGTGAAACCAAATAGCGGTAGACGCAGATCGACTATTGCGTTGATTGATGAGTCTTGTGCCTCCTTAGTCTCAGTTGCAGCAGGTGAACGTGTAGGTGAGGACATGATTATTATGCGAATATACAGGTACACAGATATAAATACATGGAATGTGCAGTCAAAAGTAAAAATAATAACAATAAAAATATAGAGTTTCTATAAAGCTAAGATGTTCAAACGGGCTCACCGGTTATTCTGGCGGACCTAAGACTTTGCTAGCTTAATATACCGGATTCGAATAGAAATAAAAATACAAAATCCGTACAGTTACTGGAAGAATATGTTAAAATTT